CAATAAAATTAGGTTAATTTATCAGAAGATGCCTCAAGGATTATCAAACTCTAAAAACCATTAAAAAATATATTTTTTAACAGAAAATTCAGAATGCATTATACTAAACAGCTAGCATTACCACATGCTCCCCTTGTACTTCAGCGTATAAGGCCCGCTCTCCAGCGCTCGATCAAAGTGACTATGCACCTTATGCTTCCCCTTCCCACTTTGATCCAGAAGAGTAAGCTCAAACAGCGCCCTCACATCAGTGCCCTCGCTAGCCAAGGCGATAAATATCGAGACATGCATTGAGGAGTCCTCCGGGTTCTTCCCATCGGGATAAAAGTAAATCGCCCAATCATATCCCCCTATGTTGAAAGTATCCGACGAGATGTACCGCCCAGGGCCCATGCCCTTGGCCAGAGAGTAGCCGCGGATGGTGAAGTGGTGCGAGCCATTCACTGTCTCGTTTATCGACCTCGAGCTGGAGTCCAGGGTGTTGTTTGGGTCGCCGGAGTTCACGATCATCTCATCGGTGTGAAACCCAGGTGGGATGTAGAGAAGATGTTGCCGGTTACAGAGGTGGAATTCTGGGGAGGGGTTTCGATCGACGGGCTTTCGAGTTTCGAGAAATGATGGGATTTCTTTTTTCTGAGGATGATTGATTATCGATGGCCAGTTATTCTTACCACAGAGGGTTAGTAGAAATTTATCGCGGTTGGTACCAATACCAACCATTGTTAATTAGTCGAGAGCAGCCGTGTTTTTATTTTATTTTATTTTTTATTTTTATTTTTTTAGAAACGATATAATTTATAAATAAAACACATATTTACATTTACAATCTTAAAAATAACTAGTAACAACCATTTAAACCATTATAAATTTAAATCTTGATAGATGCCTACATGACGAAGAAGACGATAGCCTATAATCAACGATACTAACACTCACTCATAAGATTGATTGTACAATACTAAACTTTCACTAGTGGATAGTGATAACTAAAAAAATAGAGCATAAAACACCAAAACATAACAAACACATACTACCACAAGATGAGAAATGTGATAATCTTTGTATAGTGTTGTCATTTTTAGTAAGCATAATTATCTTTGCAGAGTGGTCATTTTCAGTCAGGGCAATGAGAATCTTTACAGTGTGGTCATATAGCCATAGCCACAACCACAACCACGATGAAAATGTCCTTTTATTTTGGGTTTACATGAAAATTTCTCAGGACCAAATTGTTTTGGTCTCGTATAGAAGAAATGTTCAAAAAAAAAAAAAAAAAACTTGAACATTGAGAAGTTCATACCAAGTGATCTATGCAAGCACCAATTCAAACTATTGAGAAAGCAATCAAAAGACTTCACACATGCATATAAACAATAGAAGATATGCATCAAAGTGGGACTTCAAATGAATATATAGTAAGTAGTAGCATGTTATTCTATTTTTTATTTTTCAAAACTTATTATCTATATTAGCTATGATAATTATTTATAATTTGTGGATGCTCAGAGCAAAAGTGTTGTTCAATCAATATCCCAAATTCAAAATCATGTTTAGGATATTATTAATAATTTCGAAATTTTAAAAATTATGCTACAAAAAAACAATCTAGTCATTATCCTTCTTCCGAGTCAGAGTATCCAACTCTTGAGTCTGCAACACAAGCATCCCCAGACAGTCCTTCGTTTTCCCTAAACTTAGACAACTCGAAAAATTTGTTGGTGGTTCTCCATAAAAAAGACCTATAGGTGAAGAAGCCAAACTGAGAAAAAAAAAAAGATATATGATGATACATCATTTCATGCACACCGTACAAGAAACAACATTAAACCCTTAATGAGTTGAAAAAACAAAACAACAAATGAAATCTCAATTAGAAACACGAAGCAAGTCCCACACACTAAAAGAAATAAGGGAGGAAAATACAATTTTTTTTTTTTAGGATACCAGTTTCACTAAAGATCCCATATTCNGTAATTTTATTTTTTGTACTTAAGAACGATATTTTTCTTTGGTATATTTGAATTTTCAGTATTTGAATGTTATTTTTTAATTTCATGACTATTGGTTTAATGTTTTTAATATGGTGTTTTGTCACGGATTTTTTTTTTTCTTATTCCAATCAACGTCATGTAAATTTGCAGAATCTTATTTTTTTTTCTTTTAAATTTTTATAGTTGGGCTGATAATTATTGATGCAACCAAATTTATTAGACAAAAATAAAAATAATATAAAATTATTTAATTTAAAAGATGGTAAAAATATTAAATTAAATAATTATATAAAGATAAATAAATAATTTAACATATATAATATAAATATAGTAAATGTGAGTAACGCAAACATATAAAGGACCTATATACAATTTTGAAAAGTTTTTGCATTTCTGAAAAATGAAACGTATATCTATTATCTACGTTTCATCTGGCAAAAAATCCAGTGGCCAACGGATAATGCGTCTGAAAATCCGTGTCCAGTGGAGTGCAGATTCCTTCAATTTTGTGTTTGCGTTTGCAGACCGAGCTGGAGAAGCTCTAACAAATCATAAGCTCACTAAAGGAACAGCTCGACTTGCAAAAGATCTTGAAGTTTCATATATAAACCCCAAATGCTGATTTTCATGGTTCACGTCACATTTAACTAAAGGACACCAAACAATGGCCAACGAATTAATCACGTGTAAATTTACGTACAAAGATATTCCTGATGATCATCACGGACGAGTAAACACTCACAAGACAGGTTCTACACCATTGATG